GGTGGGTTAAGCTACACAAGGAGCTTCCCTGTGCTTGTCTTGCCCCAGACTCATCAGGAAAAGACAGAAAGAGCAGAGTTGCACTTCTGAGGACCCTGGCTTCAGGTCTCCCACTGCTGGTGGTGCGTGGCTTAGGACGGTGCAGACCCTCGCCTGCCCGCTTGCTGCTGCCTCCGCAGCAGAGGAGAGGGCTCATCCGCTCTTCAGCTGCTGCGGTTGGTGTTGAGATGGTGTCTAAGGCTGCCGAGGATGATAGGAGTACTTCCATGTTTGCTGCCCCAGAGCAGGATGAGAAACCTTTGTCAAAAGGCGGGGACAGGTATTGGGGACCGAGGATTGGAGCCTTGTGGTCACCAGCGCTGGTACCTGTGAGTACGTTTTGTGGAGTAAGCGGCAGAACTATTGGGAGAAAAGCTTTTAGCTCTTTTTGTGTCTTTTTTTGTGTGAGTGTGATGGGTTGCAGCACTGCCCTGTGGTGGGAATTAATCTGTCTGAAGTCTGTAGTTAAGTATTGTTTGCAGCTTTGCAGCTTGTCTCTGTGGTTCACTCCAGTGCTTTCTAGTTCTTGTAGTTAAATGTAGTGCAACTAGTGATTGTGGGGGAGTTGCCCATGTGTTTGCATACATTATTATTACTGGCATTATCTTCATGGGCAAAGATGAAAGTGAATCCCTTTCCCTTGATTACGTCCTCTTCCATATATTACCTTTGCTGCTTCTGCCATCTTTCTTCCAGATTTAGCATACTTTTATGAGGTTGCTCAAACTTAATGAGCAGGGGAGAAGGGAACGCACCTCAATAAATCCATAAAGCAATGAAGATAGTGTCCATTTACTTCTCTGCAGCACCATTCAGTTTGTTTATTTTAAGGAACCTGAGAGATAACGTTATGGCATACTGTTATGGACTGCATAAGCTCCTACTAAAATCTGTAGGAATTCAAAACACAGAACATTTTTTGAGTTGAAAAGTGTCATGCATGTTAGAATGATATATTGTACCAGTGTCATACTTGAGGGCAAACAAAGGTAAATGGAGTTTATCCCCTCCTGAGGTGGGTGATGCACATCTTGCCCACCACTTGCTGCCTGGCTCAGCTGTACCTCCTAGGTCAGTTTGCCAACAGCATCCACCGTTTTGACACTCAGAGAGTATTTTCTATGCATTTGTGATAAGTTTGTTTTGACTCAATGACTTGAACTATTGTATCTATAAAAAATAGAAAAAATACTATTAATAATTTTAGTAAATGTCTTTCAACCAGGCTAAAAAAAAATCCCACCATTAATTGCATTGTCTGATTCTGTCAGAAATATGAACCTGATGTCCCCTTTGCCAGCATACAGACTCCTCGCAAGCACCGGAAAAAATTAAAATTCCCCTGGTCCTTGCAATTCCCCGTGCAAGCCATGATTCAGCAAGGCAGCCACGTGGGTGATGGTGCAAGAGTGATTATGCCTAGCTGCTGTGAAATCAACAGCCTCCTTTCCCCCTTCAGAGGAGTGAGAGAGCAGAAAAGAAGCTTCAGGGTGGATTTGCACTCCTATTTTTTTTTCTTCTTTTTTTTTTTTTTCTCTAAATCCCTCCTCCAGTCATTGCCCATAATGCCAAACCGTCGCAGCAATTTCAAAAGTACTTCCTGACGCTGTGGAAACTTTCCCTGCATAATGAAGGCAGGATAAGGAAAAAGGAGAGGGGAACTGCTCTTTTCTTCTCTACTTGGCTGTCAGAAAGAGACCAGCTGTTTGGATTTGAACCTGGACAAAATGATTGATTTTTAACTTCCGATGATGACTGAAGGGTCAGACTTCCGCTTCCTGAAGCCATCTGCTGTGAGTGGAGCTGTTGTAATTTCTTTAAACTATAAATTCAAAGCTGCTGTGCGTTGAAATGGTCCTTTGTGCAAAATACTTTTGGATCTAGCAGTTTATTTTAACAACAGTCTTTGAAACAGCCAGCCAGAAATTATACTACTTTATCTTATTAAATAAATCACATCTCTTAAGTTTTTCCTAAAAGCTGAGGCTTTACTAAACCACAGATTTAATGAGCTTGAAGGATTTTTTTTAACATCAAATGACAGAGCCAGTCCCTCAGGGGGGAAGCCAATGCCCGGGCTCTTTCTGCCCCTCTGGTCTGCTTTGCCAGCCCTGCAGCTTGTCTTCTCCTGTAGAGCTCCTGGGCTCTACTTCGAGCAAGGTCAAGGATGTTTCTGAACACTTTGAACATGAAACACTCAGCAGAACTGCAGCTCTGAGGGTTCTGCACAGATGCTGTTACGCCAGTTTCTTGAAGCACCTTATTTTCTTGTGGAGGAGATGAGTTTTGGATTTCCATATACTTTTGCTTCCAACTTGTGCTTAACATTTTCTTCTCCGGAGCACGCAAGGCACTAAGGAATAATTTGTTTCAGATCAAGAAGCTGTAATACTGAGTATGTGATCAGCCGACTTGTGCTGCTTGTGTCACTGAAAATTGAGAATTTTTACTATAGTTGAGGAATTTTTATTTAAAAATATGTGAACAAAAATGCAGTTTTTAAACTTTGCAACCTGAATACCATGTTACGGCTTTGTTAGCTCAGTGACTGAGCTCTCCAAGGGAGCGTGTGGGGAATTAGTATGGGCTTGGAGGGCCAAGTCTGTTCTTGTCCATCTGAAGGATGCAGGTTATTTGTTTGTCCTTACATCCTGCTCTTGCTAATGTGAAGCAGCTCAAATAACTGCACACACGGAGGAAATAATAGGGTTTACTTTAGAAAAATACAAAAGGCTGGTCGGGATGTTGCTTTCTTCACATAGTGTATAATTTTGGTGTTAAAGTTGTGTGATATGCTTCTTTATCTGCTATGATTTACTTAGCCATCTGATTGGATTTCCTTGCTCAAAGGGAGGAGTGCTTTCTTTTAAATGTCGATTCCCATTTGGATAGCTAAGGACCCTATATCCTATTCTTTTCTGAGATTTCATTAACATAAGGGAAATGCATTATAGGCTGCTAATACTCCAAGTCCAACTTCAGTAGGACTCTTGAATACCATAGATCTGATTTGGTGATTCAGGCCAGAAATTTGTAGATCTCAAATGGGTGGCACGCACTTTGTGCAAACAATATGTATTGTTAGGGAAGCAATTGGAATTAAAATCCCTGTGGGTAGGCTGCTGAGACCTGCTGTTAAATTGCAGGGTTCTTAATTTTTTCCCCATATTGCAGTGTAGGTACTGGAAAATACAGAAGATCCTGCAGATAACTTGCAACATCTGAAAGAGCAATCAGTAAGCGAATTTGGAAGGCTGTTGGAGTTCACAACTGCCTCCCTGCAGACACATTCAAGCGTTGCGGGTCTATTTATTGCTCCATCACCAGGCAAAGGGCTCGAAGGCAAGTTTGTTTAGGTGGGTGTTGCACAGCTTTGACCGCTGTGCCCCATCAGTCTCTAAGGAGATGGCGTAACCAGCACATGTCCAGTTTCTACTTGCACTGCCAGAACCTTGCTTTGTGCTGCTTGTGCCTCTGAAAGTATTCATACTGAAATTACTTGCTTTCATAAGCATTTATGGTGGGAATTCATTTTAACCTCTCCTGAGCTTCACGACAAAATAGTACGCTCTTGTGCTGCGTGGGTTCAGGCTGATAGCCTACTTTGCTTTTCTTCATTGGGATCTGGCAGTGCATCCAGTGCAACGACAGCGAACGGCAGCCCCTCTGTTTTCAGTTTCTCTGCTAAGACCATGTTGTGCAAGATGCATGTGTTGTGCCGAGATGTCGCATAGCACAACATTTACACTCTGGCAATAAGGTATGATAATTGAGAGGGGACTGTGTTGTCTTATCCTGACTTTTTGGAATGACGCTGATAATGATTGCTCCAGTGGTGTGGCTGGAACAGAGTCATGCTTTGGGACTATGATGGGCTGCTGGTAGATACCAGTAGGCCATTAGTTTCTCAAACTTTCGTGAGAGGAGGAGGAGGTCAACACAGAGATGTGTTGGCTCCTGTTCCAAAGAGGTAGCTCATCATTTCAGTGTATGGAAGAATGAGGGGCATATTTGTTACTCAGCTGTCACAGAGAGGTAATTTCTGTAAATCTTTCTTTGTGCTATTTACTCTGTAGCAGAGAGGCTGCCTGTTTCTTGGTGATCAAAGAAAAATCTCCAGGATATTATAGCAAAGCAGGAAAGGCTAGTGCAGATTTTCTTGAATGTGGAATGTGTCATGTAGATGCTTTATTGTGCTGTGTTTTCAGCATTACCACCTATTTGTTCGTGATCTCGCTCATGTTTTTGTTAAGGACTCAAAAAGGGATGTGGTGATAGTATATATTCTTTTCACGAATGGTGAAAGTGTAGCACAAAGTGGTGAAGCAATGCAAATCTTCATTCAGAAGTGGAATGCAGGCAGTGGATCTTAGTCCCATGCTCTATAATATAGGCTGCATAATTTGCGTAGAGATATTCTTCATACGACTTAATCTGGACAGTGTGCTGAATTATGACATAAGATATTTTCTCCCCAAGGTCTTGTCTGATAAATGACAAGGAGGAAAGCATCTAAGGCTTTTGAAGGTGTTTGACTCTCGAGCATGAAGCTCTTTGGGTTAGAGCTACACCTAAAAGAAGTTGCACTTACGGCCTTACGTGTACTGTCCTTTTCACATATGCAACCTTTGTGTGAACAGACAGTGAACCAGATCTGGGAATTGGTCCCCATTATAACTGACTGTTCTTTTTGACTGGGTTAGTTTTATTACTGCAAAACTTTGTCACTCCATCCCACGAATGCTGCTGCTGGCACAAATGAATGGGTGACCCAGAAGCGGGAGAGAGGAAGGGATCCGCTTCCTCTGGCAGAGACATCAGTGTCTGCCAGTTCAGTGCTTGCCGAGTTCCTTTCCCTGTTGGCCAACAGAAGAAATGCTACATTTATGTATTCTATGTTCTTTTCCTATATGTTAAAACATGTATTTCCATTTCAGTGCTTTCACTAGCTATTGAGAACCATGTCTGACAATGGAGAACCGGAAGACAAGCCACCAGCTCCTCCCGTCCGGATGAGCAGTGCTATCTTCAGTTTAGGGGGCAAAGACCAGTTGTCTGCCAACCACAGCTTGAAACCCCTGCCCTCTGTACCAGAAGAGAGAAAACCTAGGAATAAAATCATCTCCATTTTCTCTAGCACGGAAAAAGGTAAGATGCCTCTATTTTCCAAGGTTACTACTTTTATTCCTTTACTACTCTTCTAAGTTTTGGTAGCGCTTTAGGCATTTGAGTCCAGCCTGTGCAAGTGTAGGGGGTTGGAGGAAGTGTTGAAAATTGGATATGTGCATTCAATGAGCTGAGATGTTCTTTCTGTTTTTACTGGGATGTTTGAAGATGAAATGCGAAGTAAGAAAAATGAAACAGCTCACTGAGGAAAACCACCTCCTGTTGCGTCTCAAGTTTGCTGCCCAGTTTAAAGTAATGGATTTCCAAACAACCCTATTAGTGTTTGTGATTCCTGGGTATCATGTCACTTACCATTTTGCTATGCTAAATGCGGATTTCTAGTTTAAACTGAGCATCTAGCTGTTTTGGAAGGTACTTCATGTTGATGACCATTTATGTGCTACCTTGAGGAGAAAAAAAGGTAGTAAAGAAATAGTGGGGAGGGTGCAGTGTGCATGAAGGAGAATTGAGAAAGATTAAATCCTTCTGTATGTGTAACTGCACTGCTAGGATTAATTACTAGTGGGGGGAAAAATCTGGATTGCTATAAACAAGGGTTATTTCTGAGAAAAAAATTTGCTGTAATGAAACTAGACTGTATTTGTGCTTTGTTGCTGTCCTCTTTTCTTTATGATGAATATACATACAGCACTGGAGCCCTGATCCCCATTCTCCAGAATGTCTCTATCCATGTACAAGAAAACAGTGCATAGATAGAAATATCTTCCAATGTCTGGTACAGTACAACTGCGCAGGAACTTACAAGCCTGACCCAGGAACTGCTATGCATTTTATGAATCTCTACCAGTTAGCATTTTTGTGATTAGTATCAAGATGCACAAGGTGAAGACCCTGCTGCTCTTAATGTCTTCTAGTCCTGCTCTTGGCTTCCCGCGCCTCATTGCTGGGCAGGACTGGTTCAGTCATGCTGACACAGGTTTGACTGCTTCAAGAGACTTTGCTCCTCCGGTTATTTATTCACTCGGCTAAGTATTTTCCCCAGGGCTGGTTTTTACTCTTGCTCAGCTGTGTGAGCAGTCCCTCTGCAGCCATGCCTCACCCTGGAGACAAACGCTAGAGGCAGGCTTCCCTGCATGTAGAACATGTGGCTTTCCACAGCCTGGCAGAGTTTCTGCTCTGAATGGTGGGCGTGTTTTCCTTTTTGAAGGACGGAAAGATTTGGCCAGTGTAGCTTTTGGAAGCAGAATACTTATTTCACAAGGTCACTTCTTGTGAAATAACTGTCCGTGGCTGGATTACAGCAATAGCGGTGGTGGTCGTTTTTTTTTTTTTTTCTGGCATGGGTAAGAGCCTTAAAGAGGTAAGAAGGACTTTGAGAAGCTACTACAGATTGGTGGCAGCACCCCAAGCAAGAGACTCCAGGCCTCTGAGGTTGGTGAAGGTGGTGAACCTGGGTGCTGTCTGCTAGGCGTAGTGCCACGTGGCTGGAGCAGGTTCTAGCTTAGCCCTTCAATACTGCACAAACTGGTGGTTTACCATTATATCATTGGTCACGGGAGGAAATGCCCAGAAATTGTCATGGAGAGTGCTGCAAGAAAATCTTATGGAAGGATCAAATCTGTCCATTTTCAGACCAGGGGAACTGTTTAGGAGCTGGGATGACCCTTATCATTATGCTGTTCCATTGATTGTTCATCAGAGCGTTTGTAGCCCTTTTTTCCAGGCAGGGATATAATGAAGTAGAACGTAAACCCCACGTGAAGGAAGGTTTTCCTTGCTCTGAATTAGTAATACTCACTAAGACTTGCTTTCGGTGTGAAACGAATTATGAATGCACGTGGGTGCAGCGCAGCTGGAGAGCTTTGTGACATTTTATAGTGTCTTTACTTCTCCTTGGACGTTTCCTCTTTCCATCTTGACGGTGGATTTGTTCGTTGCTGAAATGGCTGGGGAGGTGGTTGAAGACTTGCCCAAAGTTGTATTGGCTCATCTGAAATTGCTTTGGAGTCGCATTACTTAAGCTTATTCAGACCACTCTATAAATACTGACGTGTACCAAATTTATGGAAATTTTGTTTAGCATCTGTCTGTGTACCTACGGATATTTAGTGATGTGAACTAAAAATGGAAGAAATAATCTTTCCTGAGAAGAGTACCTTTTAGAGAAAATGGTGTCAGTTTATCTTTTCTAGATGTTTAAAAGCATTTAAAGTAATGTCCTTCTGAAAAAAAGCAGAAGATTTTACTGCATGGCAAGATAATGTGGTTAGGAAAAATGGTAATTGAATTATCTAGCTTAAAGAAACTACCTGAAAGTTGTCCCTTTTTTAATTTGGAGAAAACCTGTCGCTTGGATGACCCGCAACAAGGATGATGTAAACATCCAAAGAAATGTTTTTGGCCCTCAAGACTGGAAAACTGGCTGTCAAGTGTAAGCACAATATAAATGGACACAGTGACTTTCTGGCACTAAAGCAATAGTCAGATGTTAGTTGATTTGTTCACTAGCAAGGCTGAGGTGCACCCCCCCCCCCCCAAGAAATGCCCATTTAAATACTTTTTTTTTTAAAGTCTGCTGCTGGGAAGTTTTACAGAAATGTTAACTTCCTGCTTGGATTTTAAAAATATATTGGGACTATATGTAAAATAATCTGCCAACCTGGGGTAGAAATGATTTCATCTGAAAAATTCTCCATCCAGTACAAAAGTTTACAAATTACTACAAAAATGGTAAATTTTCCTTTCTCAGGAAATAAAGGGATGCCTTACCAGGAGATGTACAAGGCTGCTGCAAGTAGACTTGTTCCTGGATAACGTTGTTCGGTTTTGTTCTGCAGATCTCTCTATGATTTTTGCAAGGTCCCTCCTGGCCAGCTTCATCGTTTCTCTCTGCCCCTCCGCGGGTCCTCTCCTGGGAGGTTTCTGTAGCTTCAGAGATGGTGCTGGGGAGGTGGTGTGCTTTGGGGGACTCACTGCAGACGGTGAGAATTAGCAAATGCGGAGTTTCTGCCCCAAGTCTGAGCTAGTTCTGCGCTGAAATAATCATAAGAGTTTGAAGGGATGAGTTAATGACCTAGTCACAGAGGGTTTTTTTTTTTCCTCCCTAGTTCCATTGTTTAGGATAAATGAAGTGATAGTAATCTTTTTACTAGAGTACTTAATTGCCGTGAATTTCCTTGGCTAGAGTTCTGAAGTCAAATGAACCTGTGTGTGTTTTTGGAAAGCTTTAAAATAGTCCCCTAAACCTAGAAATGTTTTTCTTCAAGCAGAACTTATTAAAGGAGGTGCTGCGGGGCATCGCCCAGGTCCCAGCGTCATGCATGAGATGGGCTCAAGACCGCTGGCTCAGGGCAGATTTCAGTGTGGTTTCAGCTGCGGTTCAGTAACTCAGAACGTACCATCTGGAGTCGTCTACCTACTACAGCCAGGCTGCTGAGAAACATCTGTGTTTCTTGCTTTGTGTGTGGAGTTTGGCCGGAGCACGCCGCAGGCTGGCACGCTGCTGGGGAGCGAGGGATGCTCGAGGCTGGGTGTGCGATGCAGGAGGGTGTGTGAAGTACCGCGGGTGACGCCTTGCTGAGTTCCTGCGGCTTCGTTTGGGGAAGAGCCCAACTATTTGAGGCACTTTCTTAATCAGACAAAGCAATTCTCTGAATCCTTCTGAAGGACCCGTGTCTTCCCCCTCCCGAGAGCACGGGAGCTGCATGCTGCTGTCTCTGCACGGCCAAGGGACCGCATCTTCGATTCACTCATGGTTTGAAACAAGCGTTGCCCTTTAATAAAGGGATTCCCAGTTAAATACAGCAAGCAGAGGTTGAAAAGCAGCCTGGCCTCACAGTGGCCTTGTTCGCAGAGGCTTGAGTACATCCTGCCAACCCATGACTCACGGGACTTGCCTCTTGACTGAAGCTGGCTGCTTGCGTTCGTTTGAAGTGCTGCCCTCATCTGCTGCTCCTGTGGGCAGAGGGGTGCTTTTCAGTCTCCTTGCCTAGCCTGCTAAGAAGATCTGTGTATTTTTGGAAAGCTGGAGGGTTTGAACACCAACTCCTGTTCCCTAGATGTCAAGTGCTCCCGAGCAGGAACCTTCCTGAGGAATATAACTTTTTTTTTTTTTCACCCCCACCTTTGCTTTCACATAAACAACTGCAAGAGATTGGGAAGAAACAGTACTTTCCTTAAAGGTTTTCACATGAGCAAGTTTCTCCTGTCCTGTGACTGAACGATGTTAATGAGAACATTTGACAGTCCGTTTGCATTTTGGCTCTGACCTGTGCAGCCATATTAAAGATATCCTGTTTATAACAGCCGTGTCTTTCCACTGCATTGTTCAGCTGGAGGCAGCCCACATGGCTTTTCGCTCGTCAGTATTGTCCTCGGCTCCCCGTCCTTCCTCTCCCGCCAGCGTGAGGGGATTTCAGACGGATCCTCTGGCTCTGAGCAGCGTGATCTATGCTTGCCTCATGTTCAGTAACTTTTTACCACGTAGTAACGAAGAGGGTGCTGGTTTAGCGGCTCTGTCTCCATTCTGAAACTGCATGACTTTTAAGGTGAATTTAAAAACAAAGCAAAAAAAACTTTTTTTTTTTTTAATTGGCATAAAATGGTAATCAAGTTAGGCTGCAAAATGGTGCGCTGCTTTCCTTTGTGGTTACGAGCACTATGGTATTCTTGCTGGCTTCATGCACGCTGTAATAAATGCAGCTGATTCAGCTCTACGCTCTGCGAGCCCACAGGCGTTCCCAGGATTACACACGCAGTTTTCTTGGTATCGGGTCAGACGCGCTCTACAGCTCACTGCCAGGCCTCTGCCTTCCAGCTGAGCGCTCCGAGATGAGGCCGTGAGCATCGTCTTTCTACCTGGAGAGCAAACAGCAAGTACACTCCTCTGCTCTGCCAGGGAAAGCAAGCAGGGCTCGGGCTTTTTGGCAAGAACAAGAAAATGGGTTCCTGAAACCTTCCAACTTAACTCCCAACATTTTCTGAGTGAAGGGAACAGAATGGTGTATTTTATATTGAGAGTTAACGACAAGTTGTTGTCTGCTTTTTTTTATTTTCTCTTTGTCAGAAAAAATAAAAAACCAAAAACCCAATCCCCAGGCATTATAAAACATCTTACAAATTTAATTGAGTCTAGGTTGGATTGTGCACATAGTCCTTCCCATTATCTGTTCCTCCTTCTGGTACTTATTATGCTTGCTTTTTCCCGCCCCCCCCCTTTTAATTTAAATTAGGTAATTGCTCTGAGGCTATAAACTCTTATCTTCATCACAGGAAGTCCTATTTTGCATTAATTACCTTGAATTGGAGCAGTGAGGCAACTAAGTTTTAACTGTCCTTAGGGTGAACTTGAGGTTGAACTGAAGTTGTCTTCGGGATTGTTCTTAATCCATATTAAAATGTCCTTTTTTGCATTGTAAACATTTCAAATGCTTAGATTTCATATGCTCAGCAGAGCTCCTTGCAGTCTAGTGCTCTTAATCTCTTATTTGGTTGCTACCATAGTATGAGTGATTTGAATGGAACGAGTTGTTGATTCTTACGTGAAGTCTATACCAACTTGAAAATATCAAATCACTGTGCTGCATATACAAACAACTCCATCCAGTAAAGAGAATAATGGTTACATTCGTCTTAACTGTTGTAATATTCGGAGTGGTTACCTTAAACGGAGACAATAGGACTTCAAATCTTTGCTCAGTAGATCTTTGAATATCTTTTTCAGGAAGCAAGAAGAAGGAAAAGGAAAGGCCAGAAATTTCCCCACCGTCAGATTTTGAGCATACCATCCATGTTGGCTTTGATGCTGTTACTGGAGAGTTCACTGTAAGTGTACCTGCTTTGCAGTTGCTCAGAAAACAGCCGTGGGTTAGTGCTGTAGTGAAGCCATTGCAATGTTTTAGAATAAAGTGCAAGTTAGTCTGTTTTTATCAAATAAATGATTTTACTGTGTATTTTGTACAGCATGCAGAGTAATGAGACTGTGACCTGTTAGTGCTTCTGCAGTGTAAATGTCAGGTCTGATGCTTTGTGTCACCTGGGAGAGCCTTCCCTGAGAAACCCTCTTCAGTTTACTTTCATTAGTGGGTAACACGGGTTCTGCTGAATGCTTTTGTATTCCCAGTCCTCACATCTGGCTTAATGCACCTGAAAGAGGTGGTGTCATGTTGGCACAGTGATTTGTGTTGTGTCACCGATGGACATAAGGCTCCCCATTAAAACCCCATCCTACTTATTCATGTGTTTAAGGCTGTATCTGTTATGCTTTTTATAGAGGAAAGAAATTTGTTCTGCTTTTTAAAAATCTTTACAATACTAGAAGGATGCTTAAAATAGCCTATTTTTTTCAGGGAATGCCAGAGCAATGGGCTCGGTTGCTTCAGACCTCAAATATCACGAAGCTAGAACAGAAGAAAAACCCCCAGGCGGTACTAGATGTGCTGAAATTCTATGACTCTAAAGACACAGCAAAACAGAAGTATCTGAGTTTTTCTGCTCCAGGTGAGATCTGAGTGTCTGCAAGATGTATCGAAGAGGAGTTGGGTACTTGGAACACAGTCTTCCTCTCTTTCAGAGTAATGAGTCAGATTTAAATGCTGAAAGAGCAAGCTACTTTTCAATGAGGAACAAATATTTGAAGATGGATTTAAAACTTACTGGCAACTGGCGTTGTCCAGTTAATTTCCTGTTTTAAGTGGAGAGGGGAAGATGGAACTGGATAATTCAAGATAGCAGCCAAAATTAACTTTAACGGGCTGTGTTTTTGAAGCTGAGGCCCTGAGACTGTGCTGGAGACCTTGCTCCTCCTGTCTATGGCCAAAAGAGCTGTCTGTGAACTTGATGTCACTGTGTGGTGACATCAAAGATGCAAAATAAGTTGTGGCTCCTTGATTGGGAGCTGTGGGTGGGGTCTGAGAGAATGACTGTCTTACAAACAGATGCAGTTTTACCTAGCTTTCTTCCAACTTATTTCTGAAAATAGCTTAGTAAATAAGGCTTTGTAATATTCTCATCCTTGATTCAAGATACCGCTAAGGGAACTGAAATATCCATTTGATCCTGATTTCACATATCAGTAAAACAAAACACGTGTGTGGTGATGAGCAGTGCTCAATTTGGAAAGCTGTGTGTGGGTACTCGAGTGAGGTGAAGAGCAAGCTGGGAAATGAGTGGGTTTGCCTACACTCGGAGGATTTTAGAAACGTACAGCTTCTTTCTGCACGGTCTTACAGTGCAATACTGGTTTCTCTCATTTGTGAGATAGAAAATTTGCACAAATTTTTTATTCTGAGCGATGACAAAAACCTCCAAAGCAGTGTGTGTTCTTTAGTCTGTAAAGTTCGCTTTTTGTTATTTTTCTGATGATTTTATGTATTCTGCTATTTGTCCTATTTAGAAAAAGATGGTTTCCCTTCAGGAACGCCAACGGTGAGTGTGTTTACTATTCTTTTTATATTCTTAGGCGCACACAAGTTCAGGTCTTCTGTGTTTGTTTTATACTGAATCTTGCAGTGTAAAACAAAATGAGAATCTTTTGTGGAATAAAGACATAAATTGAGGGCTCAACAGAGCATAGTTCACTAGAGCAATAGTATTTGAGTCTTGTAATAAAATGTAAAAGGCACTTAAACAACTCAACCTATCCTTTTGACATCAGTAAGAATTCTTTTATCTTCATGGAGGGAGGGGGGGAAGGCAAGCAAGTCTTTAATGCTGTGGGGGAGACAATTTTGTTTCATTTTTTTTTTAAATTTGGTAAAAATGTAGACCAATGCCAAAGGTTCAGAACCATCAACAGCTGTGGCAGATGATGATGAGGATGATGAAGAAGCTCCTCCTCCTGTTATTGCTCCACGGCCAGATCACACAAAATCGGTGAGCAGCTGTAAAATTTACAGTGCAGACCTGCATTGCTCAGTATTGCAGATCTTTTCCCCCTGCTGTTTTCTAGCAAAGTGTTGTATTTGTGAAATGAGCTGTTGTAAGTTTTTAGGGAAAAGTTCTGGTTTTTATTGGAGTTTGCTAAGAAAATGCCTAATTTCTGGATATCAGTTGGATCGGAAATCCTGAAATTAATGCTTACTTGTTTGTTGGCTTGTGTTGAAGGTATCCAGTTATGTTTATCCTTCAACCTTATCCTTCAGCCCAACGTGCGAGGAGGAGCCTTTTTAGTCCTAAAAAAACTGCAGCTGGTTTCTGTAACTTTACACAGTACAATGGTACAAGTGTAGAGTATTGATTTTCTTTATCTTATTTGATTGCAGTGTGATAGCCTCACCCATATACTACCTAAACTACCTAAATATACTACCTAATATACTACCTAAACCCACAACAATTCAAATTTAAGATTTAGCATTACACAAAAAGTTAAATGCTTCGGAAGTTGTTTGTTAAATTTTGTGTAGTTCAGGACAGCTACACTACCTTGTTAATAATGTCCCAGGGATCCCGCTTACTCCAGCTCACTCTTTTGACCGTGGTAGGTGTACATTTTGACGCTCTGTTGTCCACTTACTCTTGCTTCAGGAGTGCAAACGTGAATTGTGTTTATTTGTCAAGTGATACTGCTTTATAATTGCCCATTCTGGGTATGTAGGCATACAAAATGTGACAGGTCTACAGTTTGATATTTCTAGAGTAGCTGCGTATGTTTGTGAATGGCTTGGGAGGAAATTAAATAAAGCTCCAGGAAAATCCCCTAAACTGGGAAATTTCTGAGAGTCTCGTGTCTTTTCATGGCAAAGCGTGAATCTTTTTCCTTTAGATCTTAATAGTAGTTGATCTTGCTATTACATAGTGCTTTCTGTTCTCTGAACTAGCATGAGTTATAAAGAATAAGCAGGTAGAAAACCCACAAAACGTCTGTTTGTGGAAGTTAGAGTTGATCTCCTGGCATCCACTCTGTTCAGGAGGTGCCTGGGTCTGTCTTTCAGTGGTCAGTAAGGTTGCCAGCATCTTGACTTACTGCACTTTAATGTTTCTCAGGTCTAATATCTGCCTCCGACCTGTTATGTAAAATGGTGCTTAGGGGTCTTTGAAGAACTGTAGTTGTTTTCAACTGAAGGTCAACGATTGCAAAGAAAATGCTCAGGTGAATGGTCTCTCTTAACAGATTTATACACGGTCTGTAATTGACCCCATCCCTGCACCAGCCAGTGACACTTCTGTTGACAGTGCAACGAAATCGGGTGATAAGCAGAAAAAGAAGACCAAAATGTCGGATGAAGAGATCATGGAAAAACTACGTAGGTGTTTTTTATTTTAGATAAACAAAAGATTTAGGACTAGGGAAGGAATATTAAGTTTTTACCCTCATCCTTATTTTTGTGTAAGGGTTGTTTGAATACTGTGCTTGATTGGTTTTGTGTCAGACAGTAGCTGAGAGCGCTGCATTCAGAAGTTTTGCTGATTTATATGCTTCAGAGCCTTATCGGGTAAAAAAAAAAAAATCTGTAACAGTTTTTTTTTTTATTCAAGTTCAGTTGTGATAACGTGATTTGCGTGTGTAATACAACCATAATAACACAAAATAGTTTCTGCTGTTGCCTGTTCTGTAACTATCTTGAAGATAACCTTTCACCATATTAATGTTCCTGTGCTTAAGTAGAGAACTGAGTAGTTTCTGGACTAGGCTAAGCTGATGGATTTGTCATAACCTCATATTGGGTTTTGCTACACAGAAGACTGTCATTAAATTGAGATACTAGGGGAAATAGCAAGATCTGTCTCCTTAAGAGTATAACCTAGCATAATGATTGCCTGAGCTTGGGCTGTTTGTGACTGGAACTGAGTCAGGAAGCTTTGGCTGTTCATGCATCAGTCTTTACTACTTGAGCTGTCTGACTTCTGTAGGTATCTTGGCCAGGCCAGCCTTACTAAAGCGAGACAGTGGGATTGACTGTTTGGCCTTTTTTTTTTTTTTTAGGCACTATTGTGAGCATAGGAGATCCCAAGAAAAAATACACCAGATATGAAAAAATCGGGCAGGGGTAAGTGTTCACCCCAACTTTTATTCCCAGCGAGCCAGTGTTAAAAGCAGTGTACTGTTCTCTGTCTGATACTATCATGTAGCCCCACTGCTTACAGAAGCAGGCAGAAATGTATTAAGCAGTGAGAAACAGATGGTGAAGGCTTTACACAATGGTGGAAATTTTGAATTGTCTTGTAATGCAAAATCAGAGCTCTGTAACTTCTCTGTATGTGTATCTAGTCCTCTCCTCTCCCGGTAAGATGTGTTCATCCATTTTGTAATATGACTGATGACCAGCATGAGAGCACATCAGGCAGCTTTCTGTATGCTAAGCTAACGACACTGCCTTGACTAAGTTATTCTTCTAATGGCCCTCTGAATCCTTCTGAGAAAAAAGTATATACAAGTTCTAGCTTTCCCAGCTTTGATTGTATATGTGCCTGACTCTTCCTGTATACTTTCCAAATAGGTCTGTGTGTGTTTGTGGGCAGACTTCCCCTGGGGGAAATGAAAAGTAATACCTGCTGCAGAAAGGGCTGCCCAGCTTATCTACAGGGAGCAGCACAAGTTCTGGGAGTTAGACGTCCTGAAGAGCTGGTGTCAGAGCCTATTTGTCATTAGCTTGTTTTGTGCGAGCTGACTGGCATTTCTATGACACCACTTAATTTTAATAGCTGCCTTTTTGATACAGCTCTTGCAACGTCGAAAGCTGACAATGTTGTGTTTGTGATTTGTCTGTTCTTGTCTATGTTTGTTACACAGAGAGATGCCACTGGCTGTAACATTTTTCTTTTTCTTCACAGGGCTTCAGGTACAGTTTTCACAGCTATTGATGTGGCAACGGGGCAGGAGGTAAGATTTCTGTGTTCATTGCAGTGAAAATCCTTTTTCTGTATGAATGTTCTTCTGTAGGTGGCCGAAATGATTTGACTAGATTTCTTTCTGTGGCTCTCATCTCTGCTATCACCTCTCAGAAGAACGTTTGTCATAGTCATTGGTAACAGTGTGTGCCTTGTTCCATAGTAATCAGATGATCAAAGCTAAAAATAGAGTTTTGTCTTTCCAGTGAAAAGCAGAGGGAGTGAGGTGTTCCAGAAATGGGTTTTGAAAACAGTTTATCCTTCAAAAATTGTGGGCAATGGTGTCCTGCATTTTCAGAAATAAAACTTTGTTTAGTCTTTGCACACTTGTTCTCTAGTCCCGTCTCAATAGAGGTGATGGATGTGCCTATCTGTATGGGAGCAGCTTGCCCCGTATGATTCTTTGTTGTAGTTAGAATGCCTTCTCCACATCCCCCTCTTTGCTTCTACTCCTTAGTGTCTCCAGACCCACCTGGTGAAGTTGATGACATCAGCAATACTCTGCATGCTTGTCATCCAGTGGTCATCTCTGGTTCCCAGGACTAAAATTTTAAGAATTATTTGCTTCTCTTTAAATTCAGACTTCCTTAATTTTCCTTTAAATGTCTGCAAGTAGCCATTCCTTAAGTCACTGATAAGTAGTTGCCCTTTCAACAGGAACCATATTTACCAGTACTGTAACGGAGCACCACATCTTGATAAAATGCAAGCCTTTCAATCATCTCAATATGTTGTCTCTTAATTTGCTTTCTACATATTGCACTACTTCATGTCTTCTTACTGACTGCAGAGTAAATTTTGTTGCCCATTTCCTTTCTTAGACCTCTGCTAAGGTCTAAGGTTTTGTCAGGCAGGCGGGCTAACAGTTGGTCGCTTGCAGCCTTCATGCATTAAATGGTTGCAGTACTCTGGCTTCCTCAGTGCTTAATGTCTGAGGATGGAATTGGGTCTCTTCAGCGGTAAGAAGAGAAGGTAAAGAGAGGATTGTTTTTGCTGTTTTCAACTCCCTAATGGGAAGGTGTAGAGAATATAGAGCTAGGTTCCCCTCAGAGCTACTCTATGACAGGGCAAGAGACAAAAATTCCCATAACGGAAATTCTGGTTAGATGTTAGGACTACTTTTCCCTCGGGGTCAGGATGATAAAACGTGGGACACAAGCTCAGAGAGGTGGTGGGATATCTGCTCATTGAGATCTCCATTCAAAACTCATTTGCACAAGACCATCAGCAACCTGCTCCATGTTGACTGTACTTTGAGCAAGGGATTGGACTGAACGACCTCCAGAGGTCCTCTCCAATCTTAGTTATTTTGTGATTCTGTGCCACAAACTCTCTTCTTTCAGTGCCCTTGGCTATGATAATGAACAGTCTTGCAAGGTTCTGTTGGTTCTTGTGTTTGGTTTTGGACTCATGAGGAGATTATCTTGTAAAACTCCGAACTGCCTCCTCAAAGTATTGTAGCTAACATAACTGGAACAACTCCTCTCCATTTTAAAATCTGGAATACATGTCCCGGTTAGCTTATTTCCTGGATGAGATAGGTCTTTAACTTCCCTTCTCTCTCTGGGATAGTTCGTTGGCTTAATTGCTTTGAGAGCAATTCCTTCTGCCTCCCAGTATTCCTTATACCCAAAGAGTAACTTGGTCAGAATACAGAAAAACAAATTGACTTGCCTTGCATTGGAAGGCTTATGCTATCTGTCTATGTAACTATGCTACACGGTTCTCTTCTGCTTTAGGCCTGTTGATATGAAACTGGGTGATTATCTTTTTGTCTCCTGAATGTTTCCTTTGCTGTATGTTCTGGCCTTTGTTATTGTTTGTGGATCTTTTCAGCTGCAAGAAGATGGTGTTGGCTATGGGTGCAGGTTGTATGCTCATCAGGTTACATTCATTTAAGTTGTATGCTAATAAATAACTAACCTGCTAGCTGCAAGCTGTGCTAAACTCTGAGTCCTGTTACAGAATTCCTTCTAACTTTTCACTGTATTAAGAATGACCGAAAGGTTTTGATACTCAGATTTGAATGATCGCTATTTTATTTTGTCCTATTCAGGTTGCTATTAAACAGATAAACCTGCAGAAACAGCCCAAGAAGGAGCTGATTATTAATGAGATCTTGGTAATGAAGGAGCTAAAGAACCCCAACATAGTCAACTTCCTGGACAGGTAAATGCAGACAGCTGGCTGCATCTGTAAGGGTTTCAAGAGGTTTTAACTTGATATGCTTACACAGACCCGGACTGCCTGTACCTAAGGGTCTTATAAGTAAATGAGACTGTATTTAGACTGTCATTAAAAAAAAAAAAAAAAAAGTCATCTGTTACAGGGAACGGTCTTGATGATTCAGTAAGAAGCCTTCTTCCATCATGAATGTAGTGCTGCATGTAGTTGGGGAGCAGTAGTGGACAAGAGCGCAGCTGGAGCAATGCTTGTGTTGTGCATGAGATACGTAGGGTGTTATCCTGTCTGTCTAGGTACTAAGAAGCATGTAGCTTTTATTGTCAGCACTTACATTTCAGGCTACCTTCCAGAGATTAACTTTCTTTACTGTTTGTATTGAAGTGCTCATGAATCATTTAATTGACCGGCTCTTATCAGTCGTTTTTAAGTTCTTGATCTCTTGGTGGCAAACGGCCATACTTTTCGTTTTCTGTTTGTAGTTACCTCGTAGGAGATGAATTGTTTGTGGTGATGGAGTATCTAGCTGGAGGCTCACTAACAGATGTGGTCACTGAAACATGTATGGATGAAGCACAGATTGCTGCTGTTTGCAGAGAGGTGGGTATTATGGTGATGGATAGAGGAATGAAGGTACACTCTATTCCTCTAGGTTTTACAGTGCACCTAGGTTAGGACTAATTGCAACAATTGCTGTTGGAGCCATTCTTAATGGAAGAATGAATGATACTTAGAGCAGAAATCAATATTAAAATTACAGAAAATAACAAAATGAGTTTAACTCAGAAAATCGGGGGTTTGCAAGTTGTAACACAAGATCTATGGCAGTTTTAAGCAGGGTGTTTGGGAATGTTAGATGATGGAGCAAATAAAGATTTTGCTTTTGGTACCTGGGTTACCTAGTCCTGGTGACAGTGTTAACAGAAAGATGATAACAATGCAGACTGGAGTTGAAGGAAGAGCAATGAAGAAGTTTAGCAGCTGGAAAGAATGTTTTTTTTTTAACTTTGACTAATGAAGAATATTCAAAGGCACCAAAAAGAAAACTGAGTGTATATAGGTAATGTAGAAAGTAGAGATGCGAACATATTTTTAAAAAAGCCTGAAAACTTTGGAATGTTTTCCGGAGGGAAGAAGGGGAGCTGTGTTTGCTTAGAATGTGAAAGTGGATCTGAAGAAACAGGAAAACTTTAAGACGTGCTAAAATGAAGATGAACTTCATGCAGACTATCCCTTTCTCATTTTAGTAGTTTTCATAGTGTGTGAAATCAATAGTTCTGTGACAGTTACTCTTTCTTTATGATTTCTCAGAAAAATAATTCTCCAGAAGATTGTAATTGGAATAATTTTAAGATTGCAATAAGATTACAAATGGAAGAGTTAAAAATAGCTGATGTCACAATTTATCAGTGTTTCCTGCCCTGAGTCAGAGTGCTGGCATCCAGCTCAGGCATGGTTTATTATAGCAGAAGAAGTAATTGTATTATCTGCTGTGCAGGAGAAACTTAGGCTTTTAAAAACCCCATTTGACTACATCAACATGACATCTGCTTTCAATGACTCATGCAAAGGGGGGGGATGAAAGCACACTTGTACGTTAACGTGTACGGACAGGTAATAGTTTCCTGAGAAACTGGAGCTGGAAGCAGAGAACCGAAAGTAACTATTTACTGTAACAGTAATTAACTTTCCTGAGGAAAACGTCTAATAATTGAACTATTGTATTGCATCAAAACTCTGCTGCTCAGTATGTTAGATATGCTTCACTCTGCAAATCGGTGCCACTTTGCTAAAGCAAATGAAAGAAAGACAGAAAAAACTCACTGGGGATTACATAGAATCATAGAGTAGTTTGGGTTGGAAGGGACCTTTCCAGGCCATCTAGTCCAACCCCCTGCAGTGAGCAGGGACATCCCCAACCAGAGCAGGTCGCTCAGAGCCCCGTCCAGCCCGACCTGGGATGTTTCCAGGGATGGGGCATCGACCACCTCTCTGGGCAACCTGGGCCAGGGTTTCACCACCCTCATTGTGAAAAATTTCTGCCTTGCATCTAGTCTAAATCTTCCCTTTTTTAGTTTAAAACCATTACCCCTTGTCCTATCACTACAGGCCCTGCTAAAAAGTCTGTCCCCATCTTTCTTATAAGCCCCCATTTAAGTCCTGGCAGGCTGCAGTAAGGTCTCCCCGGAGCCTTCTCTTCTGCAGGCTGAACAACCCCAATTCTCTCAGCCTTACATCCATGCCAGGTTGCAAACGGTAAATGTTCTGCCTATACTAAAAGAGAAAAATCTTAGAATTGTTGTTTGCCTTTTATTCTCAAATAGCAAATATAAATTTCATTATGTTTTTAGGCAGAAACTTGGCGTGAAAGGTTTTAATCTAAAAACACTGCAAAACCAGTATTGGTGACTTTCATAATGAAGATGTCTTACAGCCTTCACTGTGGGAGAAGTTGCATGCATGTTAAGAATGAAGTCTCACCAATTTCTGTTGGTGAGACTTCAGACTAAAAAGCTGTCACTCAGTCCCTTATGGTTCCTCTAGAATTTGTAGGATGTACCAGAATTAACATCTGGGATTTTTAGGAGTTTCATAGATGATGGCTGGGTGATGAGAGGTTTAATTTATGGGTTTATTAAGATAGCAGAGAAGCTTCATGGTTAAATGATTTTTGACCTCATGAGATGTGGAGAGTGGTTTTTTTAGCACAAGAGCTTCCTCTACTGGTTATTTTAAATAATAGCTGTTATGGTTTTGCACTTGGCACTGGCTGAGGGTGTAAGCATTACTTTTGAATTTGTGTCCACATACACAAGTTTTGTTTCCATATGCTGATTTTTTTTTTTTTTTTCCCCCTCCCATCTAGTGCTTGCAAGCGCTTGAGTTCTTACATGCCAACCAGGTCATCCACAGAGACATTAAGAGTGACAATGTGCTGTTAGGAATGGATGGATCAGTTAAGCTAAGTGAGTACTAGACAATTGTTTCAATGTTCTCTTTTCACTTTCCCAGTAAACTTTGACTTGCAGAGTGTAAATCGGTGGAAGGACAGTTGGCAGTGGAATTTTAGGTGAATTTTTATTGGATATGCGTAATAAAAATTCATTCCGAGTTATAAAATGTATGACTTGCAGGTAGCAGGTATTGAAATTCTGAGGGCCCTAAGACTAAGGCTGTGAACGTGTTAGAAAGGATGTTGAAGCAAACCTATTGCCACATGAATACGTTGATAAATATGAAGTAACTGTCACCATACAGTGAAGCAAAGATGCAAATGATTGCAAGAGAAAAGTTGCAGCTAACTGCAGTTGCTTTGTTGGTCTCTTCATTTTGTTATGACTTGCTTTTAATGTTTTGCCCTTGTCATTAGAAGATCACTAACAAGAAAATTGTACATTATTAACCATTTATATTGCAGTCTAGTCTTATGCTGTGCCTGTACTGGGTCTCCTTTTCTTGGACTGAAAGTGTAACACACTTTCATTAATGTAATCATGAAATGACAAAAGAAACTACTTGCTTTTCAGGTAATTGTTATGCATGCATGGACTTGTGTACGGTAAATCGGTTTCTGGTGTGTGTAAACGTGTGGCAGTAAAAAAAACGTGAAACCACATAAAGAAGCTGTCAGAACTGTTGAGAGAGGGGTGCATTATCTGACTTCTTGGTATGTAGGAATGTGCAAAGTGACCAAGGAGTTAAGGGATGGTGTTTTTACATTTGGGTAGGAATTTGAAATGTCATGAAAATGTATCTTGCAATAATCCCTCACCTAGATGGTTTGCAGTCTCATGTTGGTCATGAGCTGGAGTGCAAGGAAAGATTGCAAGCAACCTGATTTGCTTACCGGCATTGGTGGATGCACCGCTTGCTTGCATAGGAGGTTTTATTTTTTAAGGGTGTGATGTGTTTGTGCACAGACTACATGGATTTAGAGGCTGAAGATAAGTGAACGGTTACAGTAGAGGATGTGGCTGAGAAGAGTAGCTGGAGAAGGCTCCGAAATGTAAGAGCTGTCAAAGCAGAGTGGCGAAAGGACAGGGTTAGCAGCTTATGTAAAGAAGCATTGGCCCCAGGAGATTGGGGGAAGATGGGGAGGAAGGAGAGACAGGAGAAAACAGGAGTCAGCTGTAAAAATGGAGGTATTGTAGTGTTGAGCCCGTATTTGGCTGTGTTGTTGTTACTGCTTCTAGCAGTTTTTTAGGAAGGAGGATGGAAGAAGTTGGACCTTCTTTTCAAGCTCTTCCCCTTCTCTGGGGGAGTCTGGCTTCTGGGAGACTGGTGACAGGTGAAGTAAGAGATACCAGTCTGCCTGTCACCACTACGTACCTACGCACACTACTGGTTGGTGAAACTGGGTTCTACATTTTGCCTGTCTTTTCTGTCCTTGCTGGTGGCATGGTGCTGAAGGCCTCGTTGGCAGGTCAGGAGACATACACTACTGTTGCTTCTCTGGTGTGTTCATTGAAATAAGCTGTGCTTTCAGTTGAGTATGACACCTTGATAATGGCCAAGAAGTGCTGGCGAGGAACTCGGTGGTTGCTATAGGTTTGATTTTTTTTTTCTTTGTTTTTTCCTTTTTTTTTAAAGGCAGCATCTTGACAATTGGGGTGGGGCCAGTTCTTTATTAAATTGTCCTCTTGGTATGACTTAGCACTTTCATGACTGTGGCTCTTTTGTCAGCACTGCCTGGCATAACATTTTCAAAATTGACTCGAAATTTTAAATTCTCTCTCTTTCTCTCTCTCTTTCTCTCTCAAACTTAGTGTCAATGATAAGGTAAAATCTGTCTCCTGCCTTAACTGTGTTCTTATTGATGCTTTACATGCCTGGGAAGTTGGGAGTGCTGCAGCTGGATAAAGTAACATGATGGAACATGCATTGCTGCTGCACCTGAAGGCTATAGGAATAGGTGACTTTTCTCGTTTTCTTGAGTGTGGTTGTTCTCCTCAGTAGTTACCTTGTGGAAAGGTTTGTTTGTCCAGGTTCCTTCTGCTGAGTGGGGTAGCACTTCACTTATCTGAAGCCTTGTTTCCATGTCTCTGTCAGCTGTAGTACCTGTATTTGATGGCCAAATTGCTGTGAAATGTTGAACTCAATAGCTGCACAAATTAAATCTGTTTAGCAGGGCAGAAGCTGTGGTTTGTGGATTCATATTTTCTAGATGAGGCTGTATAACATGCCATGCACAGAACGCTTGCCTTCTGTGTTCTGCTTGATTACTGGGGTTTTTTTGGCTGTTACCAGTCTAGGAATCTTGAAGACTGGGCAAAATACCATTCTTCTACAGGGTAATACTTGTGTTGCTTTTCCAGAGGACAAAAAGCCTTATCTCCATTCCACAGAAGTCTGCCCTGCTTAAACACCTTCAGGTTTTGTATCTATCTTGCACGTTGGATTTTGTGGTATGGCGAATGTAGAGGGGGGAAGGAGACACCCCCGCAAGACCTTCAAGTGGAGGAGTAAAATATATGTGTAGTAATAGAGAAGTCTTCTAGGAAGCCCACTTACTTGGGGTGCACCAATTTAACTTTTAAAAATTCTGTTATCCTACAGCCGACTTTGGTTTCTGTGCTCAGATCACCCCAGAGCAGAGCAAGCGCAGCACTATGGTTGGAACTCCTTACTGGATGGCTCCTGAAGTGGTCACACGGAAAGCGTACGGCCCTAAAGTGGATATCTGGTCTCTGGGCATCATGGCTATTGAGATGGTGGAAGGAGAACCCCCATACCTCAACGAAAACCCCCTGAGGGTAAGAAGCCCAGATGCGGCTAGAACTGTTTGCGGGTGTTTACCATATGAACGTTTTCAGTAATTATTCATTAACAGTATCTACATTAAAAAGAAAACGAAACCAAAAAACCAACAAGCTTCAGCAGTGCAAGAAAATTCCTCTGAAAGGAAGACAACTGTCTTAAATTTGCAGTCAGCCCTAACCTGAATTTTTCTTTTTAGAAGATGAGTACCTGCTTGTAACTAGAACACTGGACTTTGAACTCAGTCTTCTGTGCTAGTTTAGGGAAAGTGAATCCATTAGGTTATGAAAAATGCTGCTTGTGTCAGAATCTGGTATTTTCTTTGCCAAGGTAAGTGTCTGTTGCCGAAAGATTTTTTTTGACTGGTATTTTGCTACTAGCAACAATAGGTCACGACTGCCTAGAATTGTGGCATTTTTACAGTTTTTCATCTCATCAGGGAGAAGGCTGCAGAGCCTTTTCTCATCTAGACTAAGGGGTTGCCGCTAGGTCAGTTTGTCATCTTTTAAAGATTTGGCTTGGTTATACAATATTCCTCATTTTACAGGCTTTATATTTGATAGCAACTAACGGGACACCAGAGCTGCAGAACCCTGAGAAACTGTCCCCAATATTCCGGGATTTCTTGAACCGATGTTTGGAGATGGATGTAGAGAAAAGAGGATCAGCCAAAGAATTGCTACAGGTGAGAGTCAGCTGCTTCTCAGCCTGAGGTACAGAAGCCATGAGTAAGGTCAGCCTGTGACAGACTGCACTGTAGATTGGCACCCCGTTTTTTTGTATTTTCTTCTGAGGATTCTAGCAGAAAGCCGTTGGTGGGAACTACAGTCATCGAAGATTGTAATATGTATTCTGAAATC